ATATTGACTTACCTGTTAACTAAAATTATCCTGGCATGCTTCAACTGAGCTTATTAGCAATTCCTGTGGTGTACATGAATGTTTTTAGATTTGGACTTTTATCAAAGATTAAAATATTAGGAAATCATCCGTTTAGCAAGCCCAGAAAATAGACACATACCAGACTGGCCTTTACAAGAATCGATTTTAGGAACTTGCAAACTAAGAACCTAAGAAGTAAAAAGTGATTTAAATCCTGGCATGAGATACTCCATTACACAATAGCTCATTAACACTGAGATACCTTCCAAAATCACAAATAAAAATATCTCAACTAAACAAAATACTAAATAAATAGTAGTATACTTTTTAGATTTTTAATCTTACTATTCCATATAAGGGGGTTGTTTCCCTCTGACACTTCAGTATATAATCTTGTGAGTAATTGGTTGCTGAGAGAAACTAGAAATATATATAATTAAGGGCAAAAAAGTCTCAATATGTGCACACATTTAACCCTATTGTTCACTTTTTTTTTTTTAATCACCATTCTTTTCCCCAGCTGGTTCCAATGCTTTCCAAAAATACTACATTTTTCTTTACCAAAAATATCTAAATTTCTCAATATAATAATAGTACGCCAAGATCCTATTCAGTTAAGTCTGTATATGCCTAGAACTCCCAAGTGATTTAGAAAAGGGCACAGAACTTAAAAATTAGAAGATTTGGGTTAGAATACTGGTTCCATCACTGATTTATTGGTGACCATTAGGAAAACCACTTGCATTTTTACCCTTCAACTTGAGGTTAGAATAATACCTACCTCTTAAGATTTTTATGAGGACCCAGTGAGAACATGTGAATGTATAAAGGGCTGAGCCAATGCTGATGGTCATTGTCATGCAATCTGAGAATCTGATCTTTTTAATTAAATAGTATTTGCTACAAAACAGAAAGATCACTACTCAGTGACCTTACTATTAATCCTATAATAATAATATTATTATTATTCTTTTTTTTAAATCCTCATCCTAAGATATTTTTCCATTGTTTTATAGAGTGAAAAAGAGAGGGAAAGACAAAAATATCGAATGTATAGCTCTAACTGGTTTGGCTCAATGGATAGAGCGTTGGCCGGTGGACTCAAGGGTCTCAGGTTCAATTCTGGTAAAGGGCATGTACCTTGGTTGTGGGCACATACCCAGTAGGGAGTGTGCAGGAGGCAGCTGATCAATGTTTCTAATTCCCTATCCCTCAACCTTCCTCTCGGTAAAAAAAATCAATAATATATATATATATATATATTTTTTTTTAATATATCAAACATATAGATTAGTTGCCTCCTGCAAGTGCCTTACCCAGGGCTCAGGCCAGGGAGAATCCTGCAGCTGAGGTACTTGCCCTTGACCTGAATTGAACTCGGGACCCTTCCATCTGCAGGCCACCAAGTCAAACTGGTTAGATCTAGAATATTCTTTTCGTGTGTGGAATCGGGTTTGCTGTATTCTCATCTTTATCAGCTAAAATACAGTGATTAACATGCATGCCTTCTGGTAATAAAATTACCATTAGCTGAACCATTTTTATATTCACCCAATGGTTTTCTATGTTTTAAGGTCTATAAGACCTTGAGTTTTCAAGCTTCTTAAGCTTTCAGGTTTTTACTGAGGGTTCTTGACTGCCAGTGATCACCACTAAGTCCTCACTCTCTACCTCAAGCAACAGAACAATTGGAAGATAATGGAGTAGAAATGGCTTTAACTCCGGGTGCTTAAAAGATGACCTTGAGATTTTCCTTCTCTCATTCTAATGCCAACTTTCCATATCTGTGGAGCTTTCTCCACAAGACAGAATGGCAGGGCCCCATAAGCTCTAAATTTCATTGTCCTTAGAACTCATGAAGCCAGAGAGAAGACCTCACCCCAGGGTCCAACCCCGGACAGATTCAGATTGCTCTCCTTGGGTCCTGTAGGTATCTACCCAGAGGTAGGGAAGCTGAGCCACAGGAATGCAGCCTTACCAGAATCACCTAAGGTTTGGAAGATAGTTTCCTGAAGGAAAAGTGTGGAGTACTCTTACCAAAAGGAGAGAGGAGAAATGTTGGGCATGCAACAAAAATAAAGTAACAGATGCTCAGTTCACCTGGCTTCCCTATTTAATTGAATCAGAAATCCTTCTGCTCTGCATCAGTTTATTAACAAGCTTTAATTTGTGAAGGACACTAACAGGGGTTGAAAATCTATTCTGCTATCGTCCAAATTCCAGACTAGTTAACATTTAGAACCAGGTAGGTGAGTCACATCCCCCTTTTACAGGGAAGGTAGCTAAGACTTAGATAGGCGTATTCTCTGCCTCTCATCAAACAGCCTGAAACTGGCAGAACCCAGATTCAAAGCTGGTTCTGCCTGATTCATTCCACAACCAAAGCACTAAGATCTTTTTAGCAACCCTGCAGTCAAAGAAACATCCTTATATGGACTTAAAGACACAATCATATTTGGATGCCTGTGTTGATAAATCAATCATCAATCAATCAATATTTGTTCATTTCCCACTAGTATGAGCATATAGTATGGTAGAGGCCTGGTGCACGAAATTTCTGCATGGGGGTGTGGGTGTCCCTCAGCCTGGCCTGTACCCTCTCCAATCAGGGACCCCTCAGGGGATGTCCAACTGCCAGCTTTATCAGGCCTAAACTGGCAGTCAGACACCCTTTAACAATTCAGGACCACTGGATCCTAACTGCTTACCTGCCTGCCTGCCTGATTGACCCCTAACCAGTCCCCTGCCATCCTGATTGATGCCTAACTGCTTCTCTGCTGGCCTGATTGTCCACAACTGCCCTCCCCTGCCACTACCCACCTCCTCCACGGGGCCCCACCTCTGCTGTCCATGGACCATCTTGTTAGGTAGGACACGATGCATGAAGGTGTGAGCTATTATTAGTATAGATAGTGTAAGTGCTGCAGGTAAAGACTGCTGGCCTAGTCCCTTCCTTCAAAATTGTCAACAAAGTTGCCAAAACAGAACAAATATGCAATGGATAAAACTTTAGAGCTAAATAATGTGGTATTTATAACATACCCTTCAGTGAGATTCATTCTGTAAGTGTGAAAAGATTGGCTGGGAGAAGCAAGAATAATGTGAGAATAAGTAAAGGAATGGTATGTGGGTGTGGTACGCCCAAAGAAAAGTGAAGGAACAGGCTACCATTGGGCACTGCGCTGATATCCAACAACCAGGGTTCACTCAGTTTTCAGCAGCTCCCGTCAAATTTTCCTAACTCTCTGGGCCAGAGTTCCTTTATTTGCAAAATAAGGAGGATGGAGTCCATAAATCTTTGCTACTCTCTCTCAATCAAATCCAGAGAATCATAAACTTACGAATTAAGAAAACCCAAGAAAAGAGCATGTTTAGAATACAACTGTAGGTCCAGGAATCTGTATTTTTTTTTATAAGTTCCAAAAGTGATCAGCCAGCTTTGAGAATCACTTCTTAAATGAATGAGGGTAAAATATAACCTCACACAAAAGGGGAGGGGGGGAATCTACCCCACTGTAAAATTCAGAAGTTCATATGGGAAAGTCATCAGAACAGGCTAAATGGAAGATTGTGAAATACCTTGAAAGCAGAAAGGACTCTCTGCTTTCATGATGCAAGGAGACATTGTGCCCCGGAGTGAAAACTGCGCATTTTTGTGAGTTGATGTGGCAGCCTTGGACCCTCACCTCTTTCAGCCACTCCCTCAGGTCTGGAAACACTGACTAGTTTCTCCCTGAGGCCTTCACTCCAAGGAAGCCCTGCATCCTTTTCCTCCTGTCGCCTGCAGGCTCTATGAGGGACATTATTCTTGCTTCCCCAGCCATTCTTTTCACACTTACAGAATGATTCTCACTGAAGAAGTATGTTATATGTCCTGCAGGCTCGACGGAGGACATCCATGTGGAGGAACACGCATTTTTTTTTTTTCTTCAGTGATTCTGGAGCCCAGCGCCTCTCACCTGGGTGGGACTGCACTTACTTAGAGAAATCAGGGACACTTAAGATGGAAAGGCCTGGGACAAAAACAAACAGTCCTCTCTGTCTCTCCCGCAAGGTTTTACTAAAGGTAACTTCCAGAGGGTCCTAAAACGCAGAGAATACAGTCACTTCGAAGACAGCTCACCAATGAGTTAGGAAGGCAGCCTTGGCGTGCTTGCTGCTTACAAGTTGCATTGATGCAACCCCTACCCCAGCACTTTGATTTTAGGGCCAACGCGAGCCAGTGGGGCATGAGTTAAGGATGAAAAAGACCACCCCATCATCCGCTCGGGGACGCCTCCTCCTTCTGGATTGGATTTTAGTCTTTTTTTTTTTTTTTTTTTTAATTAAGCAGTCCATGCATTTCATCCTTTATCTGAAGTGGGCTTAGAGGAAGCGTGTGGCATCCTTGGGTCCCGCGCGTGCATCTGTGTCCCTCTGCAGCAGGTCTCCTTGGGCTCTCGGATCTGGGTCGCCTGGGTGTGAGAAGGAGTGAGGGTGGGGGGTCCCCGGCGTCTCACGCGATGCTGCGCGCGGGAACCCGCCCCCCGGAGGCAGCGTCCGAGCCCCGAGCACCGCCAGCCCCGCGCGCCGCCGCCGGGCCGGGACTGGGGGAAGGAGGGAGGGAGCAGAGGAGGGAGAGCAGGGCGGGCGGGGGGGGGGGGGGAGGGGGCTGGGAAGCCGGGCTGCGCTGACGTCACTGGGCGCGCAATTCGGGCCGGAGCGCTTTAAAGCACGGGCGTGCGGGCGGAGATGCTGCTCCACACCGCGCAGGCCGCCCGCAGCAGCTCCGCTCCCCGGCCCCGCGGCGCCTGCAGCCAGCGCCGCTCCCGAGCTCCGCGCCGCGGCAGCGGGCACCGTCCGGCCCCGCGGCGCCCGTCCCCCACGCCCCGCCTGAGCCGCACACGCCGGCGGCACCGCGCCCCGCGCGCCCCGATCCGCAGGCGCCCGGACGCCGCCGCCCCGCTCCCCGCGCGCGCCCCTCTCGCCGCCCGGGCACCATGGACACCTCCCCGGTGCGCGCGCTGCTGGCCCTGCCGCTGCTGCTGCGCCTGGCAGCCGCCGGCCCACCCCGACCCGGCGCGCTGCTGCGGGGCTGCCCCGCGCACTGTCAGTGCGAGCCCGACGGCAGGATGCTGCTCCGGGTGGACTGCTCCGACCTGGGGCTCTCGGAGCTGCCCGCCAACCTCAGCGTCTTCACCTCCTACCTGTAAGTGCGCCCCCACGCCGCTCCGGGATGGGGGGACACGGGGACACGAGGGGGAAGGAGCTACCTCCAAGCCAGGCTGGGGGCTCCTCGGCTCCCGCCTGCTCTCTGCTCCGGAGGGCCGGGCGAGTTGGCACGGGGCATCTCGGGCCCAGGGAAACGCACGTGTCCGGCCGGCAGTACGACCGACCGCACTTTCTGGGCCCCCAGAGAAACGACTCGGGCGCAATCCCGCCTCCCGGTCCAGCGCTGGGGAAGCGGCGGAGCGAATTCCTCCGGGTGTGGGCATTTGCATGCAGTGTGGGCATCGGTGCCTCTGAGCCTGGAACCCACGCGCGGGCTGCCCGCCCGGGGGTCCCTGCCCCAGCTTCCCCTCCTCTCCTCTCCCCTCCTCTCCGTGACTTGCCACGCTCCGCGGGGAGATGGGCTGCACAAAGTCCCCCCAAAGGAGCCCGCCCGCTAGCCCTGCGCTAAAGGAACCCACTCTGCATCCCTTCCGTGCACGGCCGCGCAATGTAACATTCTTTTCTTTCTTTTATCCTTCATTTATTTATTTTTTTTTCTAATGAAGTGATTACAATGTGGCAACCACAAGCCCGATTAGAGCTGCCAGAACGTTATCTTCACCTTTGGCTGCCCGAGCCGCCCTTTGAAGCGCCGGCCCCGCGGTGTAATCTTTAACCATCGCCGCCTCCTCCCGGGCGGGGCGGGGAAGTGGGCCGAGGGCGGCGGGCGGGCGCCCGGCGGCGCGGACACGCGAAGGGAGACCTGGAATTCTCCGTCCTCCCTCGGAGATCCTCACCCCCTCTCTTCCCCCTTCCCAAACACAGCCCCCGGAGCCCATTCCGCCCAGATGAGGCAGCGGCGCATTTCATAATCCCGTCCCTGGAAAACCCGGGCCCGGAGGGTAACAGGTGGTTGGGCGGTGGAGGTGGATCAGGAGAGACCAAGGCCATGGCTTTCCCTCCCCCTAAGGAGACTTTGGGGGGCTTGGTGCCTCCGGGCTGAGGGACAGGGGTCCAGGCTACTCCGGTGACTCCAAGGCGACACATTTTGGACTTTGATTGGGGTGTTGGAGCCCACCCCGAGCCCACACAATGTTCGTTTCGGCTTCTCTACTCACGTACCTTGGCAGGAGCTGGTTGGGATGTTTGTGCACTCATTCTTTCCTCATTTGAGTTGTTTTCCGGAGGGAGGGAAGGAGCATGAAAAGGCTTGCACAACGCCTTCCACGAAATGGTGATTCTTTTTCTGGAGACAGACTGAGGAAGAACAATACATTTTTTTTTACTGGTTTAGTAGTATACATTTAAAGAAATGGACCATCCTGCTGCATTTTGATATTAGTAGGCAATCTCCTCATCTGCCATAAAACTATTTTAAATTCTTTACCTGAAAGGATTATACAATTAGTTATTTCCCCACCAGGTTTCCCTCCAATGGCACTCACCGCCTGTGGCGGTGATGATTTCACAATGATAGAAATATCTCCTAAGTGGCCATCCTCTAAGAATTCACATTTCCTCCTCCTAAACAGCTGCTTGTACCAAGGGGTGAAAGGCTCATCCCCAATCTCTCTGCTTTAACGGCTAAAGTGTTTCAAGAATCATGTGTTCTCTGTAAAGTGAATTTCTGAGAGCGGTGTGGCAATTTCACATCAGAGACCCTAGACCTACTGCTTGCCATCACCTCGAAGAAATAGACTATCTACAAGAGAAGAGTGCAATCCCTCCCCCCCCCCCAAACACTTAGCTATTCAATCATACACTCCTTTTAAAAACGTGTTTAAGAATACAGAAAATAAAACCATGAATAGCGTCAGGAGGCTTTTCTTCCCACTTGAAAGAATGAGCATTCGTTAGGCTTCTGCTACTAAAATTTGGCATGAAGGGCTGCCTCACATCATTTCCCACATTCCCCGGATGCATTGCCCTGCATCCTCCACGTGGTCAGGAGAGCTTACTGCCACTGTTTGCTGTCTATCCTTACACACAACTCCTTAGAGTGAAGACACCATTAGGGAAGTGTCATCTTCTCCTACTTGGTGATGACAGCCTGTAGCTTGGCCGAAGGGGAAATTTTCTTAAACTCGGAAGTGTCTGTGAAAGTGTCAGGATGAATGTTAAATACTTTTTTCTAATCGTTAACATTTCAGGGACCATACGTGCATAATGTAGAAATCAGTCCTGAAGTAAATAACCAAAGGGATGTTCTCCTTAACACTCGATTTCAGAATGTGCTCTCTTATAGAACACCAAGTGCCAGGGGCCATGGGGTGTCCTTCCCTCTTGGGTAGAAGGTTTGGAGGTTTTCCTATTTTTGTTTTTACAGCCATGGGGAAGCTGTGCAGACTTTCAGGGTCAATGGTGCCCTCTTTTGGTTACACCTAGAATTACCTAACCATTTCTACCTTCACTTACACACTCATAACCTAAAAGAAGAATATTTGTTTGCTCATATTCCAATAGATAAGCATGTGTCTTACTGTTTTTCTTATTTTTAAAAAAATCACTTTCTTTGCTTTGAAAGGGAACAGTAAGTTACAGCCCCCTGCCACTGGGGCCTCGCGGTAATTAAGCTTTGATGAGAAAGTTGCAGTGTGTAAAGACTCCTGGGTAAAAGGCCAGACTTCACTATCTTTTTTTGTTGTTTGTAGTAGGTTATCACCGTTTATTTGAGTCAGAATGTTATCTCTTAATCTTCCTCCCTTCTCCACAAAAGAACAAGCATTTCATTTTCTTCAAACAGATTGACGATGGCAAGTACCAGCTGCACACATTTGGCAAATAGATTTTACCACAATCTGAGAGCTGACTAATCAGACTCCTGGTAAAGAAAGTTTCCTAACTCTCTTCATAGAAGGCTATGGCTCTTTAAGTGCAGTTTTATAGCCTTTCCTTCTTCCCCAAAAAGCTAAATCTTCAGCCAACATTAATAGTAACTCTCTTCTTTTCCTGAACTGCATTGCCCAGCAGACCTGTAGTTGGACCACAGAACATGGTAGAAACACAGATCTCTCTCTCTCTCTCTCTCTCTCTCTCTCTCTCTCTCTCTCTCTCTCTCCTCTCCCTCTCCCTCTCCCTCTCCCTCTCCCTCTCCCTCTCCCTCTCCCTCTCTCCCTCCCTCCCTCCTTTCCTCCCTCCCTCCCTCTTTTCCTCTCTCTCCTTTCTCCTCTCTCCTCTCTCCTCAGTGGCTATGAGCTCTGATTTTATAAAAGGGGCTAATAAAGCTGACTCAGCAGAAAATAAGGAAACCACCAAGGTTGAGCCATTAAAGTAAACAATAACTGTTATCATGTTAAATGTATCTCAATTTACCATCCTGATTTATCAGAAATAAAGTAGTTCTAGCTTCTAATCTCATTATAGGTGAGTTATCTTGATGTACAAAATGTGAACATTTTGAAAATACATTCAAATAAGCTCTTGAAAATAAACTCCTCTATGCTACTTCGATGCGTCTTTCATACAGTTAGGTAATGTGGCATCCAAGCAGAAAACTAAATTTTAATGAACATCCTAATATAGTAAAATATACTTTTCTTGGTCGACAACAGCCATTTTATTTTTAAGTGAAAACAGTTTTTTTCTTGCTGTTGCTGAAGGACATGAATCTTTCATCCACAAGCAAATTTATGTTACATGAACCAAAGGAACCAAAGAAAGATTTGTTTTTTAATTTAATGTATGTAATTTGGTTACTTTCCCATATGTAGCTTTGGGACAAAATTTAATTTTACACGTAATTAGTAGAACCAGTATTAATAAGAACCTATAAAAAACCTCAGTTAAATTATGTACAGCCTGGTGTCATACATGTGTTTTAAGTATCTAAAATGCAGTTTCAATACTTAAAAACATTTTTTAATCTTTAAAATGGTTTTCTATATTTCTGCCTCCCTTCAAGAAAGAAAAGTGTATTAAATAAAGAAAAATGTTTGTTCTTTAGAATGGTTACAAAAGCCTTAACTGTTATAACAGTCTTAAAATTTATATCAATTTCAAAATTATAGTTTGCTCTACAACCTACTTTTAAAATTCATTTAAAATATAATGATGCCAGGGTCTAATATAATTCCAGGGTCTATTATTATTATTATTATTATTGAATTCTCATTATGGAGGCAATTATTGAAACTAATTGACTAAAGTAGTCTGAGTGATATTTTTATAGTGGCTCTGACTCAAACAATTTGTAGCATAGATTTAAGATAAATATTTTACTGAATATGTTCATCATATGCATGACAGAGTTTATGGGACAAGAATGGATTTTTACATACAGTTGAACATGATCTTCAATTTTTTTCTTTCTTATTCCTTGTCTTCAAAGTAAAGGAGTTCTGGTAAGCAACAACAGGTAGCAATCACAAATGAGTTAGAAGGTTGGAATTAAAAAAGAGAAAAAACTTTAATTTTAAATTAAAAAAGAAGAAAATTGTAATAAAAAATAACCTTTGTAGGTTAAATAAAGCTATTTTTTAAATAATGAAATCATTCCCACTTGGATATATTTAAAGAACTTCAGAAACACAAAACTGGTCTGTGATCTGTCACGGTTGTTATATTAATTAGAATTATTTGATTTTTTTTTTTTTCTAAAATGGATAGCTGTCACCTGGCTAGTGTGGTTCAGTGGTTGAGCATCCACCTATGAACCAGGAGGTCACAGTTCGATTCCCAGCCAAGGCACATACCTGGGTTGCATACTCTATCCCCAGTAGGGGGCATGAAGAAGGCAGCCCATCAATGATTCTCTCATCATTAATGTTTCTATCTCTCTCCATCTCTGAAATAAAAAAATATATATTTTAAAAAATAAAACATATAGCTGTCAAAAGCATAGGAATGTAACCAAATAAGCAATTAACCCAATAAACCTATCATTTGAAAATTAAACACAGTGCAGAATCTTAAGCTTTTATAACTAATACCTAATATCTACTACTTTAATAAAGCACTTTTACATTTCTTCTATTAAATTGATACATTTAAGTCATTTTA